TCAGCCTGCTAGCACAGATCCTTCATCCCACTGGCGCAGACTTCTTAGATTCCACCACTGACCTCTGGGCCTTCCCAGCGCAGATCCATGAAACAGGCCTGCATGAAATATTGTTATGGATTGTGGGCCTCCAGATGGACTCATGGGAGGCACTGTTATGAGCTCTAGGTCTTCAGCTGGACTCATGCAGGACATTATCGCAGGATCCATGCTCTCAGCTAGATTCCTTGGTCTTAGTGTGTGGACAGATTTCCTGCACTCTCTTGTATATGATTCTTTGGGTGACTATTATAAATAATTGCATAAACTAAGTGTCCTGTATAATATTGTTCCCCTTGCAAATATCCCCTAAACCAACACTGTATTTCATCCCTTTTATTGTTGAGTAATATTCCACTGTTTGAACATAACACATCGTGTTTATCCATTGGTGAGCATCTACTTTTTTTGGCTATTATGAATAATGCTGCTATGAACATTTGTGTACACATTCTAAGGTGGATAAAAGGTTTCATTTGTCTTTACTGTATACCTAGGAGTGAAATTACTGGGGCATACAGTAACTGTGTGATTAACCTTTCGATAGGGCACTAGACAAACGACATGATATTTTTATCTTGATGTTCTTGCTTAACATTAATCATGTGGGGCTGGGGATATAGCTCAGTGGCACAGCACCTGCCGGGTAAGCACAAAATCCGAATTTGATGCCTGGTACCAAAAAAACAAAAACCACAAATTAATCACATGTATTTTCATGAATTATTCAATGTTCTTTGAGTATGTGGCTTTTAATACTGGCAGGATTCAGACCAGGCATGGTGGCACATGCTTGTTATCTCAGCACTCAGGAGGCTGAGGCAGGAGGATCACTGCAAGTTCAAGGTCAGGCTGTGCTACATAATGAGTTCGAAGCCAGCATGAACTATGTAGTGAGACCCTGTCTCCAAACAAAACCAAACAAAAATGCTGGCAGAATTCAAAACCTTAGTTTTTGAACATTTAAATTACTTTCAGTTTTCATTATTATAAACAGCATTTCAGGGCACATTTTCAGGCATCAATCTTTTTATGAATCTCTGATTATTTCTGTAGAGTAGATTAATCAAAGGATTGGATCAAAGAGCACAGGCAGTTTAAACGCTCAGTGCATAATGATAAATTGCCTTCTGAAGAAAGTCGTGACAATTTTCATTCTTGCAATTAAGAGTTTGGGAGTGCCAGGTGTACAGCTTCTTATATTGTGTTTGTGAAGATCACTGGACAATGAGCATCAGAAGGATGGAGACATCTTTGACCCTGCATCCAGGTTGTTGTGTAGGGTTTGTATTATGTAAATAAGCGGTAACAAGTAAAGATGTAGATTTCTGCGGGGGCAGAGAGGAAGACACATGTGCTGTGAGTTAAATGGCCCCACATGGAAATTGAAACTTACTAGAGGACACGAGGAAGCCACAGTCCAAAGTCCTTTAGGTGCAGATGCTGGTGGGCGCTGTCCGAAGACTGGCAACAACTCGTTTGTACTCCACTCTGTGAGCACCGTTCTTTATGTGCAGCCCTGGAAGAATTACCTTCACCGAGCTAGCAAGGTCGTCAAACTTTCTGTTTACTTCAGTGTCCTAAGAAGAAACCCATCACAAGGCACTGTATGAGTATTTTCTGAGAAGTTGATTATTTTCACGTACACGCACACTGTATCAAAGAAACCTCCTGTGCATGCTTTTAGGGGATGCTCTATTTCTTGATCTGGGGGTTCATTATATAGGATATATAT